CGAATATGTGCTAGATTTCAGACCTTGTGTGGTAGACGTGTTAGATGCTCAAAAACGTGGCAGATCTACCACAATGTGGTAGAAGTCCGATCACTGACGGGGGGACTGGGCAACCTTTCGATGCCCTGGGGGACCGCACTAATGATCAGTTGTCCGTAAGTCACCAATCTGGACCGCCAGTACCGCTGCCGCCCTAAAGCCGAGATCGCTACCAAAGACCGCCCGCTGTTCACTGTCATCCAGGGCCGCCGCAATAATCATCATCATCTCATCACCGGGGCCGCCACTACCACTGCCGCCCCAAGGCCGCCCGCCATCATAACCGAGGACTGCGAACGCTAACTATCGCCAACCAGGGCCGCTGCCACGTCACCGCTGAGGCCGCCACCACCACTTCAAGGGAACTGCAGGCAGCCGTCGCAGTCGCCGTCACAACCGCCGCGACTGCTCTCATTGCCACGCTCTTCACTACGACTGACGCGTACCACTGCCAATCTTGCTGTCACCAGTAGCACTCCCGTCACCGTACAATTACCCCCCGAATAATCTCCGACACCGACTGCCAACTCTCTTTCTTTACCTTCCGCTCTCCCCTGCACGACAAGTTGGCCGGCCTTCTAGATAGCCGCGTGTGTGTGTGGGTGTGTTCGACTTAATACACAAATCATTGTGTTTTATTTGGTGGGGGTTAGTGGGACCTTCGCTGGACTCTGGAGCGGCTGAGCATACCTCAGCCTTCGACAAAACCCACCTCATACAATTAAGGAAAGAAACAAGGTTCAATGTAGATTTGTGCAATTTTTACATGTGTTTGACAGGAAGGTATTTTGGCCATGCAAAAATTGATAAAGGTAGAGGTCACAAGCGAAACGTGAGTACTGCAATCACTACAACGAATGGTCTCTACGGTACGAATACTCTACCACCGGAAGTTGAGAAGTCCAAAAAAATTTGCAAAGTTTTGCACAACTTGTTTTCAAGAAATGAGTAAAGGTAGAGGTAAAAGGCATTCTTGTAGTACTAAATGCAGTAAAAGTTACGAAAATGTAAAAAACACTGTGGAACACCTCCGCTCCGCAAAACAGCAGGAGCATATTGTAACTTCCATTTTAAAACGTAAAAGAGATACACAAAGTGACATTAGCGGTAGCCATCGTAATAATATCGAGTTGAAATTATCTACCTACGGATCTCAGTTGTGCCAAATCCAACAAAGAAAACAGATGTTGTCTTTTCGGCAGAAAATTTAGACAAATTTCAAGTCAATATGGGTGCATCATCAAATCAGATGAAAAATGTGACAAATTTCTTGAGATCTAGCGCTGGTAAACAATCTGCGCCAGCATTTTATAACACGAAACATGTTGTAGAAAAGTGAAGAAAGTTAGAACATCTTCTTATTAAAGTTATGACTGACGGAGGCCAAGGTTTCTTCAAGATCTGTATGACGATTATTCCAGAACAGTATTCAGCGGAATTAAACTGCGGTGTTGATGATTCAGATCAGGAAACCGATTTAATTCCCCCAATAAAAAAACTAAGTCTATACTCTGAAGGTGGAAGTACTGACAAAAAAGGGAAGTTAACTGGTGTACACAAGTTAATCATGTTGTGTGCAGTACCTGATATAAAGCAAACATATGAGAATATTGCACTCTTATTTAAATTAACAAATATTAATAATATTCCATGGACAGCAAAATACAAGATCGACATATCCAAGTCCTTACTACTTCGTGACATTAAAAGAGTTAAGAAATTGCGAGGAAGAATGCGTCAATCAAGATGAAGAAAGCGATGTTAATACGCGTACAGAGTTAAATTACGTAGAATCTTGCAATAGTGAATGTATGAGACTAAAAACTTATGGAGATTTAAGAAATGATTATAAAATCTTTTGTTCCTTCCGTGACAGAAAAAAATGCTAAGCAATGTCACAGTACAATAAACCATCCCCTTTTTGGAGAAGATGTTGAGGTCTATGTAATTCAGAAATGCATATAATGCAAGAGTTTGTCAATAATCTTTTTTGGGATAGTTTAGTCCCTCTTCTTGGACGTGATAGAGTTCTATTGTGTCCCAAAAAACTGAAACTTGTTCCTAAGAATTACCAAGGGTAGGGTTTTGAAAGAAATGCATGTCGGAAGCTTCTAATAGCGCTCTTACACGACATGTATTTGCATATGTAAATGCTACTTTTCTAATACGTTCTAATATATGGTACATACCATTGCGTAATTGTAATCCTTAAATTATATACGATTACGATTACTTTAATTGTAATCATAAATGTTACCATTATGATTATAATAACACTGTGGAACAAATTCAGGTTAGCAAAAGTAAGGTCGATTCTGAGAGTGAGGGGTGAAAATAGAGGCTAAATTAGAAGACCCGTATCGCGGCGTTTGTTTATGTTAGTTCGAATTTTTTTTTAATCGACCTTCGAACTTTGCAGTCAAATGCCGATTTTCAGCATATTGTTTATATGGTTTTTTGGCTATAACTCGTCGACTAATTGATATTTTTTCAATCCGTTAAAGCCGAATTATTGCTATGGAGCGTTGCAACAATTAAAATTTTTTAAAAAATTGGTTTAGAAAATTTTTGTAGTGCTTATGAAGCAAAATGTTGGAAATTTTTTTTCATGCTTTTTGAATATATTTTCCACAAAACAAAGTCTTTTTAGCTTTTTGTTTGATCTATAATATGCTTCTCAGTTTCTTCAATAAATTTCATTTGA